ACTGAAATAATCACGAAATTCACAATAATTACTTTAGACACGTTTTAACGTCTATATTATTAGCTTTCATTGGATTAATGAAGTATTGATGTGCTTATCCAATTTCTTGAGATAAACAACAAAATGTGAAGACAATATTTTTTCGAGATTGAAAATAATGTTGTACCAATACCAACAAACTGCAATTACCACGAATTACATAATAATTACTTTAGCCACATTTTAAAGTCTATATCATTGGCTCATTAGATTAATGAAATATTGATGTGCTCATTCTAGTTCTTGAGATAGACAACAAAATGTGAAGACACTATTTTTTGAGACTGAAAATAATGTTGTCCCAATAAACTATAATAACCACGAATTTCATAATAAATGCTTTAGACACATTTTAAATTCCATATTATTAGCTTTCTTTTGATAAATGATGTATTGATGTACTCATTCTAGTTCTTGAGATAGACAACAAAATGTGAAGTCACTACTTTTTCGTGATTGAAAATAATGTTGTACCAATAAACTGTAAAAACAACGAAATTCACAATAATTACTTTAGACACATTTTAAAGTCTATATTACTAGCTTTCTTCTGGTAAATGAAGTATTAATGTGCTTAACATAGTTCTTGAGATAAACAACAAAATGTGAAGACATGTAAAATAATGTTATTTCAACTTTAACAGCTTATTACAAACAAATCATCAATTTTACAAAATTATGTTATTATACATTATAAACTCTATATTCTCAGCTTTAATTAGATTATTGAATTATCTGTGTATTCATCCTGGTTCACGAAATATACAAAGAAATATAAAAACATTTTTTGATAATTAAAAAGAATCGATGTTACAACTTTAACTAATTAAATTTTGAATCGAATTGAATGATTTCTTCTTAAAATTAGATTAATTATAATTAAAATAACGTATTTATTAATGCACGTATAGTGAAGATTATTCCCATAATATAGAATTTAATTAAACGAAAAAAATAAATTAAAAATAATTAAAATCTAATTCAATTAAAAAAGTTAATTAGTCTATATTTTTTTGCATAACGCTTCAAACTAATTAGCAGGATGTGTATAATAGAGAAAATTGAATGCAAAATGATCGTTGTGTAAACTTTATACTAATTAAAGAATAATTTTTGCATTATTAAAAATATTGGCAAAAAAATAGATTTTTTGTAGATTTTACTAATTTATATTCTGTGAAATTAATGACTTAATGCGAAAATTTGTTAAAAAAAACAGATTTTCGTAACATTTTAATTGATTATTTCAATCAATTACTTTGTTAACTAAAAACTGCGCTAATGTGTGAACATAAGTGTGTATTTTTGTTTGAATTTCCCACGCTGTTCGATGAAAATAAGTCGATAATAATGCGAAAGATAATTAATTGAAGAAAAAAACTCGGATAATCCTGGAAATGTAGGAAAGATCAAGGTGAAATTATGCAACGAGGATGCATGTATTTCATTCCAATTGACCGAGATGAGGTCAACACTGGGAGCGTCTTTCACCTACAATGAAAAGAGGAGAGAAGTAAACAAAAAGCAATGAAAACATATCAAAAAAAAAGTTAAGAAATAAATGTATTTACTCCAATTAATTATTTTAATTGGAATGCGTTGGAAACAATGAAATGGCATTTGTTTATATGGTATTATTTAAATGAGTTCTGCACGAAACGCCCGTTAATTAGACCATTAAAACACCTCATGTGTCCTTATGCAATGCAGTTTCATAACGTTCCAATAAAATTGAGCCGAAGACAACGAAAACAAGACCAAACAACAACAAGAAAAAAAAACAGTAAAGGAACTGTAATATGTTAATGGTATTGAAAAATAGATAGAAAATAGCACGCACAATGTTAAGTATTTTCATTAGGTGGATGCATTGGAGCGTGAAGCATGTGCAGTATATTCGATACAAGAATAAAAATTGGAGCAAAATTGTTTCGAATAAAACTAAATGTATGAAACGTAATGGAAACGACGAGTAGAAATTTTTTTATGTGCACGATTTATGTAACGAGCTGTATGAGCTGCAATAGGTGTTTCGAGGTGCGAAATTATGCAATTATCAAGTTTTGAATGTTTTAATAATAAAACGAAAGAAAAAAAAATAAGTATTAGAAATAGAAATTTTCGGTTTTTGCTACTATGTATGTAATCATTGTCTTTTTAGTGGTTCGCTCTTTATTATGTTATAGAAGTTATTTGTAAACGAAATAAATTTGGTTTATGTTATAATGGTTTTATGAGTTCTTGAGATGTACAAGAAAATGTGAAGATTTAGTTTTTTTTTTAAGAATTAAAAAAAGTTTAACTTTGATAGCTTATTGCAGATAAACCTTGATTGTTTCAACTATGATGTTTATATACATTGTAAAGCTTGTTTTATTAGCTTTAATTGGATTATTAAATTATTTACGTACTCATCGTTGTTCTTGAGATATACACGAAAATGTGAAGATTTAGTTTTTTTTAAGAATAAAAAAAAAGTTTAACTTTGACAGCTTATTGCAAATAAACCTTGATTGTTTGAAATATGATGTTTAAACACATTTTAAAGCTTATTTTATAAGCTTTAATTGGATTATTGAATTATTTACGTACTCATCGTTGTTCTTGAGATATACAAGAAAATGTGAAGATATTATTTTTTTTTGTAGTGTTAAAAAACGTTGTTTCCACTTTGAAACCTTATTACAGATAAACCACGTAAACTACACTTATTAATGTATACACATTTTAAAGTGTATATTGTTAACTGGAAGTAGATTATTGAATGATTTACGTGTTTATCATTGTTCTTGAGATATACAAAAAAATCTGAAGATATTGTTTTTTTTTGTAGTATTAAAAAACGTTGTTTCAACTTTGAAAACTTATTACAGGTAAACCACTTAAACTACACATATTAACGTATGTACAATGTAAAGTGTATATTCTTAACTTGAAGTAGATTATTGAATGATTTACGTGCTCATCATTGTTATTGAGATATAAAAGAAAATGTGAAGATATTGTTTGTTTTTGTAGTATTAAAAAACGTTGTTTCAACTTTGAAAACTTATTACAGGTAAACCACTTAAACTAAACATATTAACGTATGTACATTATAAAGTGTATAATCTTAACTTGAAGTAGATTATTGAATGATTTACGTGTTTATTCTTGTTCTTAAGATATACAAGAAAATGTGAAAATATTGTTTGTTTTTGTAGTGTTAAAAAACGTTGTTTCAACTTTGAAACCTTATTACAGATAAACCACGTAAACTACATTTATTATTATATACACATTGTAAAGTGTATATTATTAACTTGAAGTAGATTATTTAATGATTTACGTGCCCTTCCTTGTTCTGGACATGTATAAGAAAATGTGAAGATATTGCTTTTTTGTAGTGTCAAAAAACGATGTTATAACTTGGAAAATTTCTGTAATACAACAAAATCTACACTTATAAGTTTATACATATTATAGAGTCTATATTAATAGCTTTGAATGGATTATTTAATGTATTCTATACTCATCATCTTCATTTTCAAGATATCCATCAACATGTAAAAAAGTGATTTTTCAGGAAATAAAAAAAAAGTTTTGACTTTGACTTATTTATTACAAGTAATCCATGAACGTTGCATATATAATTTTAAAGCCTATATAATTAGCTTTAATTTGATTTTTCAATGATTTAAGTGATTGTCGTGGTTCTTGAGATATGTATTAAATTGAGAAGAGACTACATTTTTGAGAATTTTAAGAAAAGTTTCAATTTTGACATCTTATTACAAGCAATCCATGATTGTTACAAATACAGTTTTACTCAGATTTTAAAGCTTATAATATCAGCTTTAATATGATTATAATATGATCTATATGAGTATCCTGGTTCATGAGATAGCTTTTAAATTGGAAAGAGACTATTTTCTTAAATGTTAAAAAAACTCTGACAACTTTGACAGTTTATTACAAGAATCTAGAAACGTTACAAAAATACAATTTTAAAGCCTATATTATTAGCTTTAATTTGATTATTCAATGATTTAAGTGAGTATTGTGGTTCTTGAGATATGTTTTAAATTTTGAAGAGACTACATTTTTGAAAAAGTTTCAATTTTGACATCTTATTACAAGCAATCCATGATTGCTACAATTATAATTTTGCACACATTTTAAAGCTTATATTATTAGCTTTAATATGATTATAATATGATCTATATGAGTATCCTGGTTCATGAGATAACTTTTAAATTGGATAAAGGCTACTTTTTTTTGAAGTTTTAACTTTGACAGCTTATTATATATATATATATATAACAAATAGGCAAACAAAGAATGTCACAAATATAATTTTACGTATATTTTACAGCTTATTTTATTAGCTTTAATCGGATTATGGATTGATTAATGTGCTTATCGTGGTTCTTGAAATATACAAGAAAATGTGAAGACGCACTTTAACTTTTAACTTTCACATAACGAATGTTACATCCATAATTTTACCCACATTTTGTTACCAGTTAAACCAGTTACCTAATATTAATTGTTGAGAAATCAAGACTTCTAAAAAAAATGATATATCGGTGGTTCTTATTTGTAATTACTTTTTTCAACATATTTATGCGACAAATTCAAAACCAGTTTCTAATGTGAAACTGTAACAAAAATAAAAAAAGGAATACAATAAACATTATAACTCGACTTTCCTCTTGGCTTTTAATGTATGCGTGTGCATCGAGCATGAATGAGTTTCTACGAATCCGATCGATCCGAAATTTCGGAAGATTTTGTAATGCCTCCTAAATCGAAACGCAGGATGGAAGAAAAAAAGAGAGCAATTTATGAATTACGTAAGGATGTTGTGTGTTTTGGGTCGATGGTTTCGCGTATAAAAGGAAGGTATTTCGGTGGTTTCGAGCACAGTCAGAAAACAGTCCTTAACCGAGGAGGTTTCTACCACATACATTCATCCAACCATGAAATTCTTTGTGAGTATTAACATCTCTTTCTTTATATGTAATAATTATTATTTTCTTTAGGTTGTTTTTGCTTGCGCTTTGGCTGTTGCCTCCGCTGGGTACGAAGAACCAAAGTACCATGGACCTCTTCATCTCGCTGTGATCGGTAAGGGCGGAGTACCAGTTGATACCGCTGAAGTGCAACACGCCAGAGCTGCTCACTTCTTGCACAAAGCTGAAGCTGAGGCTAAAAGTGGACACGGTTATTACCACGAAGAACCCAAAGTTGCCATCATCTCGGGAACTCCAGCTTACGAACATGGTTCTTCTCACGCTTACGAACAACATATTCCAATCATCGTGAAAGGAGTACCAGTTGATACCGTTGCTGTTCAACACGCAAGAGCTGCCCATTTGGAAGCCCACGCCGCAGCCAAAGCCCACGACCATCATCATTACCATTAACTCAATCCAAAGAATACCTTCATCTAAAACTCGGAGTTTCGTTTTGTAAACGATAGCCGTTTAAAAAAAAAACAATAAATTAAGCAAAACACAAATTGTTTCTTCTAAAACCTATAATTTCTTCACGTTTTCACTTAAGAATATAAAGTTTACTCGGATATATGAAGATTGCTGCAATCGTTTGTTGCGTTCTCTGGGCGGCGAAAACAATGCAGGGAATTATGCAGGGAATTCGACGATTAATTTATACGTACACAAATGACTATGATATTAGAAAATTGCGAACTACATTCTCTCAGCGCAAAGTTTCGCAATCTCTTTTGTTGTATAACCTCCGCCCAAAATGCAATTAGAAAAAAAAATCGTTCAAATCTCTTCAGTAATTATCTTCACTAATTATAAGTAAATTAGATTAGTTTCGTAATTAATTAATTAAGCAGGAAGTTTGATGGGAAATGAGAATTCAAACAATTCTATCAAAGAAAAGTGTAATTTGTCGATTCTCATATGAATGAAACTTTAATAAACTAGAATTCATTTTTTGATAATTACAAAATCACTTTTTTATTCCTCAAAAATTGAATATTTTAAAATGTAATTCAAAATCATTATAATTTATTATTACTAACATTATTTTCTAGTAGTTTAAGTATATTTGTATAATTTTTTTTGATTAAAAACTTGATTTATTTTTAAATTTTGTAAAAGTTTGTAAAGATTTTTTCTAAAAAATTATTTAAAAATTTCATCAAAAAAATCCTGTTTTTTTATGAATAATATTTGGAAACAGACTATTTTCTGGTAAATGTGAGTATATACAATATTTAGATAACATTAGAATTCAATAATATTGATTTTCTCCAAATTTGTGAAAATTTGAAAAAAAAAAAATTTTAATTTATTTCAAATTTTCATCAAAAACATGCATGTTTTTTGTTGATAACATTTGAAAGTTGTCTATTTTTTGGTAAATGTGAGTATATACAATATTTATATAATATTAGATTTCAATAATTTTGATTATCTCTGAATTTGTGAAATTTTAAAACATTTTTTCCTAAAAATTTATTTAAAAGTTTCAGCAAAAAATCCTGTTTTTTTATTAATAACAATTGAAAATAGTCTATTTTCGGGTAAGTGTGACTACATACAATATTTATATCATGTTAGAATTTAATAATTTTGATTATCTCTGAATTTGTGAAAGTTTAAAACATTTTTTCCTAAAAATTTATTTTCTAAAAAAAATGCAAATTTCATGATTTTTTTATCCTAAAATTATTTATGTTTTTTTTTTCAAAATTTGTAAATTGTTTGATATTTATTAAAATTTTAACATGTTTGAGCATTAATGGATTATGTAATTTAAAAAAATACGTAATTCATCATGTTTTTATTAGTTAATTTATCGTATATTACAAAATTTAAAGAAATCCAGCTATGAAATGTTAAAAACATTGAAACTCTGGACAATGACAGACTTTAGATGAAATTCTTCGCATGGTGTTAATAATGATGGTAATGGTCATAAGCTTTGGCAGAAGCAGCAGCGTGGGCGGCCAAATGGGCAGCTCTGGCGTGTTGAACTTCAATGGTATCAACTGGTACTCCTTTCACGATCAAAGGTACGTGTTGTTCATAACCATAAGAAGAACCGTATCCTCCGTTGTTGTAAACAGCTGGAGCGTGAAGAGTATGGGTGGAATATCCATAAGTTTCAGCAGCTGGAGCGTAACTCTTGTAAGATGAGCTTGGATCTTCGTAATAGTAATCATGTCCACTTTGAGCCTCAGCCTCAGCTTTGTGCAAGAAATGAGCAGCTCTGGCGTGTTGCACCTCAGCA